CAGATAACAACATAATCATTCCACAAGCCATAAAGGTATGCCATATCGAAATCCGAGTTCATTTGACCAAGTTATGGGCTTTTAAAGATGGAAACCTTCAGTAAACCTTCGCAAAATTAAAATCAATGACATAAAAAGCGGTCGTATTTTTTACTACCTTTAAAGTTATATATTTTAATGCAGATAACAACATAATCATTCCACAAGCCCATAAAGGTATGCCATATCGAAATCCGAGTTCATTTGACCAAGTTATGGGCTTTTAAAGATGGAAAGAAGGCCCATTTCAGTAGACCTTCGCAAAATTAAAATCAATGACATAAAAACGGTCATATTTTTTACTACCTTTAAGTTATATATTTTAATGCAGATAACAACATAATCATTCCACAAGCCCATAAGGTATACCATATCGAAATCCGAGTTCATTTGACCAAGTTATGGGCTTTTAAAGATGGAAAGAAGGCCCATTTCAGTAAACCTTCGCAAAATTAAAATCAATGACATAAAAACGGTCATATTTTTACTACCTTTAAAGTTATATATTTTAATGCAGATAACAACATAATCATTCCACAAGCCCATAAAGGATGCCAAATCGAAATCCGAGTTCATTTGACCAAGTTATGGGCTTTTAAAGATGGAAAGAAGGCCCATTTCAGTAAACCTTTGCGAAATTAAAATCAATGACATAAAAACGGTCATATTTTTTACTTCTTTAAGTTGTATATTTTAATGCAGATAACAACATAATCATTCCACAAGCCCATAAAGGTATGCCATATCGAAATCCGAGTTCATTTGACCAAGTTATGGGCTTTTAAAGATGAAAAGAAGGCCCATTTCAGCAAACCTTCGCAAAATTAAAATCAATGACATAAAAACGATCAATTTTTTACTACCTTTAAGTTAAATATTTTATGCAGATAACAACAAAATCATCCACAAGCCCATAAAGGTATGCCATATCGAAATCCGAGTTCATTTGACCAAGTTATGGGCTTTTAAAGATGGAAACCTTCAGTAAACCTTCGCAAAATTAAAATCAATGACATAAAAACGGTCATATTTTTTACTTCTTTAAAGTTATATATTTAATGCAGATAACAACATAATCATTCCACAAGCCCATAAAGGTATGCCATATCGAAATCCGAGTTCATTTGACCAAGCTATGGGCTTTTAAAGATGGAAAGAAGGCCCATTTCAGTAAACCTTCGCAAAATTAAAATCAATGACATAAAAACGATCAATTTTTTACTACCTTTAAGTTAAATATTTTATGCAGATAACAACAAAATCATCAACAAGCCCATAAAGGTATGCCATATCGAAATCCGAGTTCATTTGACCAAGTTATGGGCTTTTAAAGATGGAAAGAAGTCCCATTTCAGTAAACCTTCACAAAATTAAAATCAATGACATAAAAACGGTCATATTTTTACTACCTTTAAAGTTATATATTTTAATGCAGATAACAACATAATCATTCTACAAGCCCATAAAGGTATGCCATACCGAAATCCGAGTTTATTTGACCAAGCTATGGGCCTTTAAAGATGGAAAGAAGGCCCATTCAGTAAACTTCGCTAAATTAAAATCAATGACATAAAAACGATCACATTTTTTACTACCTTTAAGTTAATATTTTATGCAGATAACAACAAAATCATCCAACAAGCCCATAAAGGTATGCCATATCGAAATCCGAGTTCATTTGACCAAGTTATGGGCTTTTAAAGATGGAAAGAAGTCCCATTTCAGTAAACCTTCACAAAATTAAAATCAATGACATAAAAACGGTCATATTTTTACTACCTTTAAAGTTATATATTTTAATGCAGATAACAACATAATCATTCTACAAGCCCATAAAGGTATGCCATATCGAAATCCGAGTTCATTTGACCAAGCTATGGGCTTTTGAAGATGGAAAGAAGGCCCATTTCAGTAAACCTTTGCGAAATTAAAATCAATGACATAAAAACGGTCATATTTTTTACTTCCTTTAAAGTTATATATTTAATGCAGATAACAACATAATCATTCTACAAGCCCATAAAGGTATGCCATATCGAAATCCGAGTTATTTGACCAAGTTATGGGCTTTTAAAAATGGAAACCTTCAGTAAACCTTCGCAAAATTAAAATCAATGACATAAAAACGGTCGTATTTTTTACTACCTTTAAAGTTATATATTTTAATGCAGATAACAACATAATCATTCCACAAGCCATAAAGGTATGCCATATCGAAATCCGAGTTCATTTGACCAAGTTATGGGCTTTTAAAGATGGAAACCTTCAGTAAACCTTCGCAAAATTAAAATCAATGACATAAAAACGGTCGTATTTTTTACTACCTTTAAAGTTATATATTTTAATGCAGATAACAACATAATCATTCCACAAGCCCATAAAGGTATGCCATATCGAAATCCGAGTTCATTTGACCAAGTTATGGGCTTTTAAAGATGGAAAGAAGGCCCATTTCAGTAGACCTTCGCAAAATTAAAATCAATGACATAAAAACGGTCATATTTTTTACTACCTTTAAGTTATATATTTTAATGCAGATAACAACATAATCATTCCACAAGCCCATAAGGGTATACCATATCGAAATCCGAGTTCATTTGACCAAGTTATGGGCTTTTAAAGATGGAAAGAAGGCCCATTTCAGTAAACCTTCGCAAAATTAAAATCAATGACATAAAAACGGTCATATTTTTCACTACCTTTAAAGTTATATATTTTAATGCAGATAACAACATAATCATTCCACAAGCCCATAAAGGAATGCCAAATCGAAATCCGAGTTCATTTGACCAAGTTATGGGCTTTTAAAGATGGAAAGAAGGCCCATTTCAGTAAACCTTTGCGAAATTAAAATCAATGACATAAAAAACGGTCATATTTTTTACTTTCTTTAACGTTGTATATTTTAATGCAGATAACAACATAATCATTCCACAAGCCCATAAAGGTATGCCATATCGAAATCCGAGTTCATTTGACCAAGTTATGGGCTTTTAAAGATGAAAAGAAGGCCCATTTCAGCAAACCTTCGCAAATTTAAAATCAATGACATAAAAACGATCAAGTTTTTTACTACCTTTAAGTTAAATATTTTTATGCAGATAACAACAAAATCATCCAACAAGCCCATAAAGGTATGCCATATCGAAATCCGAGTTCATTTGACCAAGTTATGGGCTTTTAAAGATGGAAACCTTCAGTAAACCTTCGCAAAATTAAAATCAATGACATAAAAAGCGGTCATATTTTTTACTTTCTTTAAAGTTATATATTATAATGCAGATAACAACATAATCATTCCACAAGCCCATAAAGGTATGCCATATCGAAATCCGAGTTAATTTGACCAAGTTATGGGCTTTTAAAGATGGAAAGAAGGCCCATTTCAGCAAATCTTCGCAAAATTAAAATCAATGACATAAAAACGATCAAGTTTTTTACTACCTTTAAGTTAAATATTTTTATGCAGATAACAACAAAATCATCCAACAAGCCCATAAAGGTATGCCATATCGAAATTCGAGTTCATTTGACCAAGTTATGGGCTTTTAAAGATGGAAAGAAGTCCCATTTCAGTAAACCTTCACAAAATTAAAATCAATGACATAAAAACGGTCATATTTTTTACTACCTTTAACGTTATATATTTTAATGCAGATAACAACATAATCATTCCACAAGCCCATAAAGGTATGCCATATCGAAATCCAAGTTCATTTGACCAAGTTATGGGCTTTTAAAGATGGAAAGAAGGCCCATTTCAGTAAAATTTTGCGAAATTAAAATCAATGACATAAAAACGGTCATATTTTGTACTTTCTTTAAAGTTATATATTTTGTAGTAGGACATATACTGACATGGCCCACTGTACGACATATGATGTAATATATTAATACGACACCCACTGTACTATAGAATAAGCGGGAAACCTAGTTTAAGTTAACTGTAAACGTTATGTTGTCATCCCTTTCTACCAAGTACTGCAGCATAGGAGATCGCAGATACGTATACCTGCCTCGCTCACACGGATGAGCGAGAAGTAGGAAGAGGGAGAATCGTTGCGACACTCTGTGTTATACGTTCGAAGGAAGCGGTTGTGAAATTAAGAAATAAAGAGTTAAAACTAAAGCTATCGCCGGAGTACATTTATTGCCTATTACAATATCAGAAGTGGTTCTTACTCAAAATGCCTGACATAGATTTAAATCAATTCACGGTCGTTCAGTTAAAAAACTGGCTAAATGTGCTCGGGCTGCAAACCTCAGGCTCGAAAGCAGAATTGATGGCGCGTCTGCAGACCCTATCATCAGAAGCACGTGGTGATCCACCAAATGGAGCCTCATTCAACAGCCAGCAGCCGCTAGAAACCGAATTAGAGGGAGCCGCATCATTGCCGCTGCAACAACATTTGGAAGGCGCACAGGAAGCTCTGTTCGACTCTGGTACGATGACGTCACAGGCAGTGGACGATATACGCACGGAGAACGTTTCTCTGGTAGATGTCGAAAGGGTGAAGCTGCAGAAAATTCTCGACGAAATCGCCGCAAACAAGGCCATATTGCAACAGCTTCAGGCGGAGATCGCTGACGTCACCAGGGACAAGCCAAATCGTGCTCAGGAAGTCCATGACGTCATCGAATGCAACATCGAAACTTCTGGCAACCCTAACAGTTTCGCTTGCATTGACGCTGTTAACGCTAACAGCCCCAGGGTTAACAGCGCCAGGGATAACTTTGATATCGATAATTCTAGTGTTGGAAAGCACGCCACAGACAGTGCTGATCAATGCCAGTTTGCAAATGTAAACAAATTGTTACAATCTCCCGCAACAACACTCGCATTGGCAAAGGAAGTAACGATGGACTACGACGGCAACTCGTGTGCCCGTAACTGGGTCACACAGCTGCAAAACATTGCGCAGGTGTACAACTTGGACTCGTTTGATGTGCGCATGCTTCTTATTGCCAAACTAAAAGGAAAAGCCCAAGTTTGGCTGCACGCAAACGCAACACGCATTTTGGAGCCAACCGACCACCTTTGTGAGCAGCTGATCCTAGCATTTGCAACTAAGATGTCAAAGGGGGAGCTGAGGAACGCGTTCCAAAATCGTCAGTGGCGTTCAGGAGAAAGGTTCGCTTCTTATTTCGAGGAGAAAGTTATGCTGGCCAACGATATAAACATCGACAAGGAGGAGCTCCTCGAAAACATCATCGAAGGAATTCCAGCACCAGGGCTACGCGACCAAGCTCGCATACAATGTTTCGCCGAACCTGGGCAGATTTTGAAAGCCTTCTCTGCAATCCGTTTACCTGAACGAAAGCAGGAGGTCAATTCTTCGCAGCGCTCTTCCGGAAAGATTGCAGACACAAAGGACTTCCGTTGCGCCAATTGCAACTCAAAGGGCCACTACGCCAAGGACTGTCAGAAACCGAAACGAGAGCCCGGATCATGCTACGCATGTGGCAAATTTGGACACTTTGTGGGTCAGTGCCCTGAGCGTAAAAGCGCAAATGCAAATAAATACGTAAGATTTATACAAATATTTTTTTACAACAGTCCTAAAACCCCATTAATTGCAGCATGCCTCATAGACACTGGCAGCCCAATATCATTCGCCAAAACAGCTGTTATTTCCTCTAAAATTAAGATGGAGTTCGTCTCTGAAAACTACTTTGGGCTGAATAAAAGCCAACTGAAAATTTATGGAAGAATACTTTGTTACATAATTAAAAATCGATTGAAATGTTATTTTTACCTTTATATTGTGCCCAATGAGTCTATGAGCCATGAGGTTGTTCTTGGGAGGAATTTTATGGATGCCTGCGATTTAGAATTAGATTTAAGCGCCTTAAAAATGATCACAATTGAGCCTACGAATGCCGATTGTAATGAAAGAGTATGCAATGCCTGGGAATTCAAATTAAAGCATAATTTAGATGCTAGCAAGGAGCCGGAAAGTGCTATCGAAATTCTGAAGGAAACAGTTAGTGATACAGTTAGAGAAACAGTTAGTGAAACAGTTAGTGATATAGTTAGGGAAACAGTTAGTGACACAGTTAGTGATACAGTTAGCAAACCAATTAATGATAAAGTTAAAGAAACAGTAAAAGATACAGTTAGAAAAACAATTAGTAATACAATTAGTAATTCAATAATTGATTCATTTAGCGAAGAAGTTGATGATACAGTTATACAAAAAAGTGGTAGTACAGGTACTGAAACAGTTAGTTTTAGAGATTGTGGAGCAATAAGAGTTTCGATCAGGAATAAAGACGACCCTATAGTCAGTAAGGCAACCGGTCCGTCCATCGACGAAGTTAGTGAGGGCGGTATAGTCAATAACAAAAATGAAAGCAATATGTCTAAAACGATTCGTGAAATGCTTAGCATAAACTATATGGATGACGAAGACACTGATTACATATGGGGTACAATTGATAATCAAGATCTTCTACCTCAATTAAAGAAGATAATTAGGGTAGAGAAACCAAAGGAACCGTTTATTAAAAGTGAGATAAAACTTAATTTAGAAAGCTCGAAACCGTTTAGCTGTGCTCCGCGGCGGCTTGCCTACGCGGAAAAAGAAAAACTGCAAAAACTTTTGGACGATTATTTAGAGAACGGGATCATTCAGCCAAGCCAGTCTGAATTTGCTTCTCCCATAGTTTTAGTGAAGAAAAAAACCGGGGACATACGACTTTGCATAGATTTTAGAAAACTCAACAGGGTTTTAATTAAAGACAATCACCCTATACCGCTTATCGATGACCTGTTAGACAAGTTAGCTAGTAAAAAGTATTTTCAAAACTTGATCTAAAAAACGGTTACTTTCACGTTTTTGTCAATAAAGAATCAATTAAGTATACTTCTTTTGTAACACCGTTAGGCCAATTTGAATTTCTTAGAATGCCAATGGGACTGAAAACGGCTTCAGCAGTTTTTCAAAGATTTATAAATAAAATCTTCGATGATCTTATTAGAAAGGATCAAGTAATTGTGTACATGGACGACATTATGATCGCTAGCAAAGATGTTAATGAACATTTTCAGATTTTAAAGGAGGTGTTTCACAGATTAGCAAAGAATAAGTTGGAGCTACGTATGGATAAATGTGAGTTCCTGCAACAAAGCATTAAATATTTGGGTTTCATTATAAACGGCGAGGGCATCAGAGCTGATGATAAAGGAATAGAGGCAATTCAAAATTTTCCGATACCAGACAAAACGCAACATGTCCAAAGTTTTTTGGGCTTATGTTCTTATTTCCGTAGATTCATTAAAGATTTTTCGACTCTAGCCAAACCTTTATATGATCTCTTGAGAAAAGACGAGAAATTCCATTTTGGAGAAAAGGAAATGAGCTGCTTTATGATGCTTAAAAATAAGTTAGTTGAAGCGCCAGTGCTAGCCTTATATAACCACAAAGACGAAGTAGAGCTACATTGCGATGCCAGCGCTCTTGGTTTCGGAGCCGTACTACTCCAAAAGAAAGAAGATGGAAAATTGCACCCCATTTTTTATTTTTCCAAACGCACCAGCATTGCTGAATCGAAATACCATAGTTTTGAGCTTGAAACCATGGCCATTATTCACGCATTGCGTAGATTTAGGATATATTTATTTGGTAGGCATTTCAAGATTATAACTGACTGTAACTCTCTAACGTTAACACTTAATAAAATCGAGCTGAATCCGCGTATAGCTAGATGGGCATTAGAGCTGCAAAATTATGACTACGATCTAATACATAGGGAAGGAAACAGAATGCAACACGTTGACGCCCTTAGCAGGTGCACGAACATTTTAATAGTAGAAACAAATTCATTCGAAGACAATCTGGTTATTTGCCAAGCCAAGGACCCAAAAGTTCAGAAGATAAAGAAACAGTTAGAGGAACAGGAGCATAAATTGTTCGAAATGAGAAACGGAATAGTCTATAGAAAAAGTAACGATGAAAGATTGTTATTTTATGTGCCTATTGATATGGAAGAGCATATACTCTTCAAATACCACAATGAAATCGGTCACATAGGGAGAGACAAAATGTTAGATGTTATTGCAAAAAGTTATTGGTTTCCAAACGCCAAGGAGAAGTGTATGAGCCATATAAATAACTGCCTAAAATGTGTAGCATTTTCCCCTAATACAGGTAAAGAAGGATTTTTACATTCAATTCCAAAAGGTAGTAAGCCCTTTGAACTTATCCACATTGACCATTATGGTCCAGTTGATTCAGGAAGATCAAAGAAACATATATTTGTCGTCGTTGACGGTTTTACTAAGTTTGTACGTTTATATACCACAAAGACAACAAATACCCGGGAAGTTATCATAGCACTCAAGGATTATTTTAGAGCATACAGCAAGCCCAAGTGCATTATTTCAGATAGAGGTAGCTGTTTCACTTCCAAAGAATTTGACGATTTTATGTTAGAGTTCGATATTAAGCATATGAAAATAGCAACAGGATCACCTCAAGCAAACGGCCAGGTAGAAAGAATAAACAGAAGTCTTGGGCCAATGATAGCCAAACTGGTAGAGCCAGAGAAAGGTATATACTGGGACTTAGTTATAGATAAAGTAGAGCATGTGTTTAATAACACCCAACATCGTAGTATTAAACAAAGTCCAAGCAAAATGTTATTCGGTTTAGAGCAAAGAGGAAAAGTAGTAGACGAATTAAAAGAAAAGCTTGAAGAATTAGATAATGCACCAGAAGACAGAGACCTGGAAAACGTTAGAATCATAGCAGGAAAATGTCAAGAAAAAGCACAAGCATACAACAAACTGCAATATGATAAGAAAGCTAAAAAA